AGAATTGACTTGAAATAAACTAAGAAGATTATATCCTGGTTTTAACTTTGTTCTTGTCTTTTTCATTTTTCTTGTTTGTTTCTTTTGTTCATTTTATTTTTGTTTGTTTGTGTTTTATTTTCTTTTGTTTTTCTTTTGTTTTGTCTTTATTTTACTTTTGTTGTTTTCCTTTGTCATCATATTGTCTTTTATCTTATCAATACACTTTCTAACTTGGATTAATAGCATATATTTAGTTTTAGTATTGTTCTATTATTCAAACACATTCAAATATTCATTTTATACTTGTATTCTTGTTAATTTATTATTATCAACCATTCACCTTCGTCATTTATATCTCTCTCTTATTTAAAATCTGCCATGAACATAGTTACTGTTAATCATTTCTAAATATTCTCATATGTAAGAACTAGAAACAGTAGCAATATTAAAAAAATATAACTGTTATTAACCTTTAAGTGATTTTGTCACTAGTATATTTAGTATTTATTCACATTCAGTTTAATAGTTATAAAGTATTATTAATACTTTAAATTATCATTAAGATATTGAAAATTCTCTTTGAATATTCTTTTAAATTTTATAAATATCTTTGAGTATTTTGAAAATCAATCAAAATGATAATAATATTATTAATTATTATTATGAGTTTTAGAAATCATAATAATAAATTATTAATAGTTAAAATAATGTATTAAATATAGAAATTTTATATATAAAGAAATACTTTTTGTTTTTAAAAAAAGCATTAATTAATCAAAATACAACTAGCAAAAATAACTTGTTCTATAAAGTTATTATATCAAAATTAATTAAACTTGAAATTTAATTATATTTCTTTATAATTAATATCTTGTATATAATTATCTTAATTATATTAATTTATTTAATTTATTTTAATTACATTACTAAGAATATAAAGTACATTTAGAATATATTTACACTAAGTAGATCTACAACATCTTTTAATAATAATAATAAAATAATGTATATTCATTAGCTAATAAATTTATATTATTACTGAGTTTAACTATCTTGATATAACATTATTTATATTAAATTAGTACTAAATTTTCTAAAAACTCACTTATAATACCAGTACTTTGAGAAAGTTTTGATTACTATTTATTTTAATTTTTATTAAAGTTATATTATTTTATTATTTGATATTTGAATTATAAGTTTTAATAGTTTAGTAATTTGATCTTTTACATGAATATAATCATTTATTATTTTTCAAAAATATCATTATAAGTAATGATTCTGAAAATAATGACAATATTTTATTATATAAATTCAAAATAATATAAAAATTTAATATGTATTTACTAACAAAATGAAAAATAATACTTCTTAAATAAAAAATAAATTACTAAACTAAAATCTAAAAAATTACTTTTTAAGACTTGAAGACTTGTCTATCTTTTATATTTACAGTCATTTCTTTTTATAAAAACATGATTGAATTATAAAAATTGATTCTTATAGAGTTTGTTCTTATAAAAAGGTCATTTTTATTATCAATATTAATTATTTGGTTCTCAAAATTGTGTTCCTATAGAGAGGTGTTCTTATATAGCGTGTTCTTATATAGAGGGATGACTGTATGCTATATTTATAGATAATAAAATAGTCCAATAAGATTATAATGTACAAACAACACCATTATCAGAGTTCCAAATCACATGATTTTTTTATATACGCGCTCAGCTTATTTTCCACTATCGTTATTCAACAATGTTCAGTTGCCAACGTTGCAAGCAACCTATTAGGATCGATGAGTCTCTTGTAGATTTGAATAATACATCGATAGATCTTTTATTGGGTGAGTAATGCTGGTGGTTGGAATTCGGTTAGATGGATATACTTATGTTTTATTAAAATAGCCCCCCTTCCCGAGGACGATGTTTTTCCCTCAACAACTTCAGTCTTGAATAGTTCGGGAAAGTCTCTCACTAATAATTTACAACAAATATCACATGCGTTTGAGTCCAATAATAATTCATTAGCTAAACGTTCCAACACAACTACACATAATTATGGTCTGTCAAGATCACCAACCATCAACAATAAGGAGTCTTTCTTGGGACCTTCTGAATCTTATGTAATGTTATCACGTTCGCAGGTTGCTCCACCTCTCAACAGTTCAAATGAGCTCTCTATAGATGTTAATGTCGATGATCGACAAAGGGCAAGTTTAAGTTATCGTCTAAAATTAGCGAGGCGTTTATTTGATCTAATGTCATCTCGATCAGAAATTGATCATCCAATTTGCCAAGAATGCACAGATATGCTTCTGGAGAGCTTGAATAAACAATTATCAGACGCATCTAAAGAACGCGATTGCTATATAGATTTTCTAAAGAAAGTAAACTCTAATGTGATAAGTGATGCTAAACAAGAAGATCTTCGTCAAGAGATACAAGAGGTAATTTTAATAATTTCTCAATTTTTTAAATTGACATATTGATCGTATTCGAATTCTATTTAACAGATACAAGCCCGTGAATCGAGTGCTATTACTACTCTAAAAGAAATAGAACGTGAAAGGGATAATATGAAGAGAGAATTAGCTGAATTGGAGCAAGAGGCAAACGAGTTGGATAAACTTGAAGAAAGGTAAAATATATAAAGGATAGATTAATTTGATTTTTATAAATGACTGTTTATTAATTGTTTGTATTTTTTTTCCTAATCTCTTATATTCCAGTTATTGGAAAGAATTCAATGACTTTCATATTCAACTGCAAATATTTCAAAATGAGAGGGATAGCGTTAATGTCAAATATGATCATGATGCAAAACAATTGGAAAAATTGCAAAAAACTAATGTTTATAATGATACATTTTGCATAAGTCATGATGGGAGTTTCGGTACCATAAATGGGTTCCGATTGGGTCGATTACAAAATCAACCTGTATGTTTAGAAAAAATTTCGAATCAAGCATGATCTTTTGTACATTCGTTATTATTAATCATTTTCATTTTCACATAGGTCGAATGGAGCGAAATCAACGCTGCCTGGGGACAAGCTGTTCTTTTACTGGCTACTATTGCCAACAAACTTAATTTCACATTTAAAACGTAAATTCTAAATTCCAGATTGTTCAATCAATTATTTATTCTCCACCTAATAACAATATTAATTTCTCAAATACAGGTATCGTCTTGTTCCTTTAGGTTCATTTTCTCGAATAGAAAAAATTGGCGATGACGAACAAAGCTATGAATTGTAAGCTTTATTATTATTGGTTTATCAGATCAATTGATTATTATTTGAATATCGACCTTGAAATTTTGAACTATAGATATGGCTCGGGGGATATAGGAATAGGGCGAATATTCCAAAACAATCGCTTTGATAATGCAATGGTTGCGTTTCTTAATTGTTTGCAGCAATTAGGCGATTATGCTGAAAGACAAGATCATAACTTAAAGCTACCATATCGGTAATTATACGTGTTTAAATATGATTTCTACAGAAAAAATATAATAATATTCTAATAAACTAATAATGATGATGAAAAATATGATTTTTACAGAATCAATAAGGATAGGATAGGAGATGTTTCCATAAAGAGACAATTCAATCAAGACGACAATTGGACTCGTGCACTTAAATATACCTTGACAAATACCAAATGGATATTAGCCTACGCATCGTCATCCAATCATGACTGGAGTAAACAGAGATCGAATTTTCTTACAACACGCTAATCGATCCTTCTAAAGATTTATGTTATATTATCGACATGATCACAAAATATAGGAAATATGGATCATTTATCATTTAATAGTTTCCGAGTCCAGTCTGCCGTCCAACCTATCAAAAAGTCGCATGGATAACTCATAAACAGTGAAAGTAGCTCCAGCAGCGGGTAAGCTAATAATGAGAAGAGTATTAATAATAAATACCAAGGATAGAATAGATTTATTTAAATATTTTGATATTTGAAATACCTTCTTATGACTTTCATTAGATTAAAAAGAATTGAGAGAAATGTATAAATAAATAAATTAAATTTCGAGCTCGGTAAAGAAAATTATCAAAAAAATTACTTGTAGGAGTGATTCCGCGTGTTAGTGCTCTTAACCCTTCGGTTTCATATAATTTTTTAATGGTGGTCAATACATAGAAAATTCCTTTAGGGGGATCGGGTTGATTTTGAATCTGTAGATGAAATTAGCATACAAAAAACGATCATCAATATTTAATCATTATAAGTACCTTTTTAATAAACATTTCACACCTGTGATTTTATAACATCAAATGGATAACAACATATCCAATAAGAAACACCGCCGAAAGCTCCAGCCAGCATCAATCGAGAAACTGGAAGATTATCTGAATTTCCCCCAAATGCTAATTTTCTTTTTGCGAATTCAAATCCACTGTAAAAACCAGCGTATCCTGGAATTTCGCGACAAACTGTGCTCCAAAAACCTCGAAACAATCCATTTCTAATGCCATGTTCGTGGATCAATTGTCGAGCACAATCAATTGGCCCCGTATAATGGATGTTACTTATAGCAGCTGAAGCACCTTTTGTACTTCCATATTGTGCTTGCATTCTAATTTTGAGTAATTCGACAGGAGATGCTAATATACTATTTACTGCACCTAACGTGAAGCATATGAATATTTTTATCATATCATGATTAAAATCTGTGTAATTGAAGATTGAATTTATTTGAAGTTTTAAAAGATAGACTACCAGCTCCAGCTCCAGCAATTGCTATTTGATGAAGACCAAGTTGGCCATTAATATTTTTTGGTATTTGAATAGACTTTAAACGAGAATATGCAGCAAAAAGCAGAGCATTCACAGCACCAATTCCGATAAGAGGACTGGCCATTCCTATCAATTGGGAAAGACTAAATTTTTTAATATTATTAAGAATGATTTATCGAGTTTGACTTAAAACAAACCTTTATAAAGTGCTAAGAATCCTTCATTCCTTAGTGTTTGAGTTAAACAATCCATTGGACCTTTAAATCGTGAACTTTCCAGTTGAACGCGAACCTTTTTTTTTTAGAGTAAAAGGACAAATTATTTAATCGAAATATAGAGCAATGAAAATGAAAAATGTATGAAAAAAACCTTTATCGTATCCAATGGCTGTCCAATGGTGACTTGAGCCTATAAGGAAAATTTCACAATCAATTAATAAAAATTCAAACGATAAAATCATCGAAAAATCAATGATAAAGTCTACCATGCCCGCGAAACTATGTAACAATATAGTTAAATAGATACGAAATAGATGTTATATTTTTCTGAAGTACAAAAAATATTGCTTTTCACAAACCTGCCAGCAACAAAATCTTGCCAGCCATTCTTTGCTGGAGGAGCGATACTTTCAGCCATTTATGAAGACTGGCCTGCTAAAATTTTCTTGCAATATCTGATCAACATTTGAAATTCCAAAATTTTTACTTTTATATAAACGGAATTATTTCCGTTTCAAGACATTTCTAAATAATGCATACGTGATGGACCCTGCATAAGATTGATGGTCTGTGTTATGAGTCGCCATTTTAGAATGGCGCCTGTATATATCTATGTTAACACGTGACAAAAAATGAAATAAAGTGTCTATCAAATCATCTTTCTTTTTCAATATTTACACAAATATGGCGCATAACACACCTATTCACGAGTTCTCGCGACATTCTTCAAAACATAACAGTGGAAGCTTGCATGCCATTACAAAAAACTCCGCTTCAAGTACCTGTTTGAATATTTCTCATTGCTTTTTCATGTATTGAATAGAGATCATTATTTATATTAATTAATTAATTAATTAATTAATTAATAGTAACTAAAAAGAAAAACGCCGCAATACAGTCTACTTCCGGTTTGCATCTTTCTTAATCTTTTATTATATATATATTTTTTTAATGTTTGATTTTTTAACTTGGTTTTCTTTTTGAATTTATTTATTACTTGGTCAATAATAATAGATTGGTAAGATTATATATAATTCTTTTTTTTAACTATACAATATTTTTAAATGTTCTTATCCTTTTTGTATTTTAGGAATAATTTACTAATATGGGCAAGAAAACAACGCGGTCCATATTATGATCCGACGACACGGATGTATCAGGTTGATTTTAATTCGAAACGATACTTTTCCGGATATAGTTTAGAAGATGCCGAGGCGTAAGAATTTATGCATGTTAATATATATATTATATGCTATTCTAAATTGATTATCTAATAAAAATAGCGAAAATAATATCGCCGCCACATCAGGTCAGAAGAATCTCCATACTAAGCCGACAATTGTTAATGTTGATAAGGAAATAGTCAATGTTAATGGCCATCATAATCATAATAACCATCAACCAAATCATCAAAACCAACAACATAATATTCTTTCTGCACCGTCCGTGCGGATCATAAGTTCAAGTGGTCGTCGTCCTGGTCGTCCAAGGTATTTTTCTTTGCATAGTTAGTTTATTTTATATGCTTATTTATTAGTTTATTTATCAACTAATTAAATTATTATTTAAACAGAAAATCTGAAATGAAAAAGACAAAAAACAAAAATAACAACCATAATAATAACAACGATCATCAACAATCTCAAAACAAATTAAATAACATCAATAACAGTAATCATCAATATGATATTTCTTGAATCTAACTTTTATTTGTTATATTTTTCGGATCGATTTTTCAATATAGGTAAAAAAGATTAGAATCATACATAGAGCATACTTTATATATTACAAGGAAATTTTTGTATAATAGACAGCTCTGGTGAGGTATGTAAACGTAGAACATTGATCCCATCTATCACATCGATATTTTCATATTCACCAGATTTTTTACAAATGATCACTTAATTCTTACTTAATCTTTTAAATACTCGTTAGTTTTATTACTAGTATTAGTTTTTACTACTACCGTTATTTATTAATTCTAAAATATATAGAGCATACAAAATCAAAATAATTTACGTTGACGATAATTTTGAATATATAAAGAAGAAAATCTTCTTGTTAATATTATATTTTTTATCATTGAAGCTAATAATCTTGGGTCCTAATTATGTTTCTTCTATAGAAAACTTTCGGAATACAGTGATGACTTGTTCGTATATTGTAAAAATGATTCCACCCGAAAGCTTTTGGTTAAGTGATTATTAGGTGGTTTGATATTTGATTATGTGAATGGTTTTTTTGATTAATTCAAGAAGAATTTATGAGCGAGTTATTTTTTTTTGAATCAAAGAAAAGCTTATCTATATATATATATATATATAAGACACACATACCAATAATCTACTTAGTCTTGGTGTAGCACCTTTCCATAATGCCAATACACCGTCATCTTTTATCACTTTCCAGAAGCAGTGAAAAGAAGTTCTGTATAATTCTTTAGCGTGTAATCCTTGCATTTTTGTTTTCACCACGTCTAATGGCATCGTGGTATAAACAGTGACAATGCCAGCAATTGAACCTATGCCAAAAGTGACTAACCAAGGTAATGGTTGTCCTGGTCCAGAATATTTTTGGTATTCTTGTTTTAATGTTGAGTATGTGGAAAATCGAACTGCTTGATTTGCGCCTTGTCTCATCATTACTGGGAATACACCACGATAGATACCACCAAATCCTTCATTTTTTACAATCGTTTTTATTCCTAATGAGAAAAAATTTTGTTAATCTAATGGGAATTCATCTTTATTTCTTTTTATTTAAATTTACCGTGTACAAGTCCTTTGTATTGAGGTTGAGATTTATTTTGATCGTGAATTAGTTTTGTCCTTTTTTTACAAGGATAAAAAATTGTAATATACACATAAAAAAATCAACAACAAAAAAATACGCAAATCTATCATATACTTTATAGTTTCAGTCGGAGTCACAACTGTAATCGCTTCAGTCATGCCTGCTCCCAATCCAGCTATTATATAAATTATGTACATAAGCATATTATTATTATATATCAAATGGCAAATAAAGTAAATACTAACCAAGCATTGACTTTGGCCCAGAAACATTTCCATTCTCGTCCTGTAATAGCAATTTGATTTGTTCGTATGTAAAAAAACGTACTCCCGCTTTAGCCGCGGTTCCTATAACCAACGCTGATAATCCTCTATAAAGAGCGAAAATTCCTTGAGTTCGAACGGTAGTTACAGCGCAATCTATTGGTCCTTTAAAAAGCTAAAAAACTCTCAAATTCGATTCATACATTCATGATTTTTTTTAGATGGACATTGTTCTATTTTTGTCCATTGGTTTTTTTGTGTATTGGTTTTTTTGTGTGTACATGCCTTTCCACTTGATTTGTCTTGTAATTGAAGCTGAGTTTTAACAAATTCGGTCGGATACTTTTATATGGCATGTACTTTAGTAAGAATCATCCTTAGACAACAAAAGAGAATAAAATCGAATATAACAAACTGTAATAGTCGCTTCTACTCCTCCAGCTAGTAACCCAGCGACAAGTGAATGAAGCGGAGGGTCTTTCTACAGAAAAAAGATAATTGTGAACTCCAATGAATGTACATGTATAATTTCAAATATTTAACGTGAGTACCTTCTTTTTATACATGTTAATGGCCAAAATATTTTTTTGATGATAATCAAGATAAAATATAATGATAAAAACCGATCTTTCATTGCTTAACATGAATTTCACTGAAACTCTCGAAAAAATACTAAAAGAAAAAGTAAAAGAGAACTCTGATAATCCCCTTTCGTGGCCTAAACTATGCGCTTTTCTTTTAGTTCTAGAGCCAAAAGTGCGTTTATTATAAAGTATGAATTTTTTATTTCGCTTGAACTGTTCTAAAGTTATTAATTATATTTTTCTTACTATTCAAAGCGAACAACACCTTCCGCTGAAATTACACTCCACCTTTATGACTGTATAAGCTCTTGTCTCCTAAATCAAGCCAATGATAACGTCACTCAAAAAGCACATTCTCGCTTCGAAAAAGGAATACTTGAACGGCCTTTTTACCTTGCATTAGCCGAAATGCTTGAAACTTGCATAATTAAGAATTTCGGAGAATTCCCACAAAGTCTAAGGACGAGTAAACTGTTCATGCTCGAAATCAAAAATTTATCAAGGTTAGCATTTAATTTTTTTATAATTTATGAGTTTATATAATATTCACAAATTTCAAACCTAGATTGGAGAAGATTGAAAAAGAAATGAAGCATTTATATAATACTGTGTTCATCAATGCTACATATCCCTTGAGTGATGAACAAGAACAACAATTCTCAAAATTTTTATTCGAGGTAAAATTCTATTTGCAGCAGCAGCAACAACAACAACAACAACGACGCCACCACGAATAGTTATTTCAAATTTATTTATGTAGTTTTTAACCACTAAAGATCTAAATACATTTTTGGGTCTTCGAACCACAGTTGGATCAGCACCACAATTGCCACCATCATTACAAGAATGTCTTGAATCCTTTACAAAAATTTATGTAAAAAAATCGGCAAAGCCCAAATTGAAAAGATCCAAAACAGCATCATTCTCTGCCAATAATACACTTACTGTTGGTGCAAAAGCCCATTCTAAACATTTTCATCGTGATGTATCTGATGCTTTTTGGGGCACTTGCACTGGAAGTAAGTTATTTGATATCCATATATTATCCACATATAATATGTGTGTTTATTAATTAAATCTTCCAATATAAATGATCAGCCGAGAAACAAAAAAATGAACAAGCAAATAGAGTATTGGCGAAAATCATAACAAATGCCGCTTGGATAAATTTACATTCATTACCAGTAAGAAGGAATTTAATAACAGCATTATTCATTTTAAGTCTCATTTCTGATATCTATATTTGTATTCTTTATAGCACGATACAAGAGTTTATGAAATTCGTAACGAACAAGGATATGGAGCGCGCTGGGAAATTTATGATTCTCCAACCAATACTACTACTACTACTACCACTACCACTACTAATAACATTAATAATAAAGATAATGAAGATGAAGATGCTAATGGTAACAACGAGACATTACAAATCTCCAATAACATTGACAATGATCGCGCCTCAATAATTTTTCGTGGATTCTTAGAACCGCAAATGCCAGATGGACACACTAAAGGATGGGTTCATTAAATGTTTCTTGTACATTAATTATCTTTATAATATATTATTAATATATTAATTATTCAATACAAATTATTTATAAATATTTATTTGCATAGATTTGATAGAAATGAAATAAATTAAATCAAATCAAAATTGATTGATATTATGATGACAAATAAATCGTTTCGAATATTCACTAATCAATAAAATAAATTATATATGTAGTAAAAATAATTTTCTCACATCAAAAGTAATTATGTTTTACCTACTGAAGAAATTTTTTTACATATCTTCAAATGACTTTAAGGTTTCCTCGAGTTCTTTCTTGGCCGTTGCGAGTTCTTCTTCACGACTTTCTACTTGTTTTTCCAAATCAGCTTTTTCAGCTTCGAGTTGATTCACTTTCCGCTCAAAGTGCTCTGCTTTAACATCAGTCTGTCGAAGTCTAGCATTGATTAAATTGAATGTATCAGTCATAACTAATAATCAAGGAAATGACATAAGAAACCTACTTCTCTGTTATATCCCGTAGACTCTGCTCAGTATTATCTAATTCACTTTCAAGTAACGCGACTTTTCGTTGAAGTGCCTCGGTGGTACTTTTATTCGTCTCGACTTCCTCTTGTAAAAGTTTATCGTCCGTGACTTTTTTCTCTATACGAGTATTTTCTTCTTCCAAAAGCGCAATTTTATTTTGGAGAGATATGATTTCTTGATCTTTGCTCATTAATTCGCCTTTTGCTTTTTTTAAGTCGGCCTCAGCATTCTCTGCACGTTGACTCGCTGCTTCAGCTTCAGCGCGAATTGAATTAAGTTTCTACGTTTGAACATATAGATAATTTATTAAAATAAATGAGTTATATAACATGTCCCCGTGACGAAAACTTACATCTCTCAACTTGTCCATTTAGCTTAACGAAAAAAAAAGAAAAATTAACAAAGGTTGGTCGGGAGATTAGGTATATCAAGAGATAATTAATTAATGAATACGCGATTATCCTTCAAAAATAATGTGTGGTGGTGTCACATCCTCGTTTAAGCAACAACAATGAATTGAAGATCTGAAGAATATTTACAAGTCATTTTCTATTAATTAATGAAAACCAATAAAAAAAGCATTTCAATACATTTTGTGTAAATCACTGCATGTTGTGCTAGGACCAAAGTGAACGATCCCTATCTGTCCTTCTGGGGGTACCTTAAAACAGGGGTTCGTTAAAACAAGGCAAGCCGTTTAGTCGGATTAGCCACAACACGCCACATCTAATCGTTACTACATGACTTTTAAGGAGCGGTAAAGCATATTGATCAGTAGCACATGAATTGAACACATACATATATATGGGACATATGTATATATACGTGTGTTTTTGTAAGTAAAAAAATAAAGCTTTGTTAATTACCATTTGCTCATTAATATCTTTTGTTCTTTTTTCTTATAATAATATTTTTTATTCTTTTTTAGATGTCTAGCTATATTTTAGACTCTTGCTGTTTCATATTAAATCTTCATAATATTATGATTCGATATTTTTCTATATTATTTCATTTATTATTTTATTAGACAATCATACTTTCAAATTTCAGCTAGAATTTCAGTTTGAATTTCAGTTTGAATTTTTCTATTTGAATTTCAGTTTGAATTTTGATTCAAATTTCAATTTAAAATTTGTATTTTTATTGGAAGTTTAATTTTTATAATTTATTTATAAATATAGCATATATTTTAACTTCTATTTTTTTTAATAATTTTTTTTAACTAGTATTTTTATATAATCTCTTGTCTTAATTGCAAAATTATTATATTTTGTTTTATAACTTATCTTAAGTATGAAGTTATAATGCTTATAATTGATCTCTTGTTTTAATTGCAAAATCATAGTTATATAATTAAATTAATAAATAAATAATTAATATTTTACATGTTTTTAAATTAAATTTAAAAAAATTCAATTATCTTTAAGTATTTTTGATCTTATTCTAACTAATCATAAAATAAACATATATTATCTATCTTTAGTATATTAGTATTCTTTCTCACTTTAAAGTTAGTTTATATATATCTCTCACATTTAATTTAGTCTTATATATTATTTATATTGTTACAATTTATAATTCTTTAATTTCTTATTTTAATTTTTTAATTTTTTAATTTCTTAATTATAATTTTTTAATTTCATAACTTTTTAATAATATATTTAATATATTTATTAAGTTAGTTATATCAAAAATATTAATTATATCAAATATATTTATTATATTAATATACTTTTAAATTATATAAATACAATATTAAAGATAATTATTTTTGAAAAAAATGGAATTTGACAAGCAATTTGATTTTGCTATATTGCTTATATTGTCACCATTTTCAGAGTCATTTCCTATGATGATATTTCTGAAATATGGCGAGTGACTGTGTTCAATTGAA